TTGCATATAAATTTTAATGCCGAATGTGAGAACAAAACGAGTTTTGCTGTCGCGTTTTTAACAATTTGTTTTTGGTCATTTTTATTAGGTTCATTTTATTGCATTACTATGAATTTCACTATCAATTAATATATTTACGTAAATATTTAATAATGCAGCTAGCTTTTCATTCGTTTAGTGTAATTGCACTGCTCGCTGCTGCTGACGTTTATCGTTGTCGTCGTCTCGTTTATGCTTCATTAAAGGTTTTTTTTTCTTTTTTTTTTCTGTTTTACATTTTTTGCATGATTATCTTTTTGGTTTAGTGCTTTGGCTGGTAGGTTCAGATTGATACATATTGGCGATGATGTGACCCTGTAGTGATGATGCAAGGATGTGGCTGACAATTTAATATTTTAAGTATACACACACACGTATCTGTACCGTACCGAACTTTGAGCCTGCATGTATGTACATATTTGATTTTTACGTATCGAGCTTGTACTTTTCACTCGCTAGTGAAACGAGTCCGGTAAATTATTGGTGATTTAAGTCTTTTTCTGAACTAATAGACACACATGTACACACCCACACTTACACATAGAAATATATTCACGCATCGACCGTCCATAGACTTGCTATATACACTAAAAACGAACTCGCGTGAGAAGACAAGCTCGGTACGAGTACGAACATTAAACTGTATGCAAGTCTTGTCTGCCGAAAAAAACCATTCATAACCGTCGCGCACAATAAAAAACACCTGGAAGTTATTAAATTCACACTTAGTTAGTAGCTCGAAAAGTTATTCATATAATCTTTACACTTTTTCCTTTTTATACAGTGTATTTCACTTATTTTTCATAATTTCTCAACATGACGAGCTGGCCCTATACAAAGCGATTTTAAGCGTTGCCAGACTTCTCTACTGACGCGAACAAATATGGCGGATAGTGCATTAAAAAATATTGAGCTCATCTCGATACTATCGATATTAAGATTTCCCATTTTGTATTTTTCAGAGGCGATAATCTTAACTATCGATTTTAACAATATCGAGTATTAAATATCGGTAAAAATAAAACGAAGTTAGCCCTTTTAATATGTTGTCTGTAACTTTCTGGTATGTTGTGTAGAACAGCATTTTATAAGCTAAATGGGATATGTACTGCCCTTGAAATCATTTGGAAACTTTATAACTTACTTGGGTACATACACAAGGGGAAAGACTACACATATTCTTACTACATCATAGAATATATATCAACATAATACTAAGTATTTTTAATAAAAGTTCTTAATATAGAATATTTTTGGTATTTTTTCTTTTTGAGGTATATTCAACTTTACATACGTGGTCACATTATTTAAGAAGCACCGTTATATAGTTGAATTAACTTCATTTCCTGTTCTTGTACATCTAACCAAGTATTCGGGGTTGACTGAAATGCGGAGCTTATATGTTTTGTTAATGTATTGCCATCTTGTGCATGTACTTGCACAATTATACTTTGTTGGCGCACTCTCGATTCGCAAAAATGATTTGAATGGTGTGGAAGAGCACAGTCACGATGCGGGTAAGATCAGGTGTTACGTTGTAAGGTCTAAGCTGTTAGACGGTAAAGGTATAAATTTAGTAGTCGGAATAACACCCAATACATAATGGCGGATTCATATACAGTTCCAATTTGAATTATGGCTATCTCACTCTATCGTATAATTTTGTCGGTCAAGTTGGACACTAATGTACAAGCATACAAACATACATATGTATAAATTATTATGCTTATAAGTTATAAGCAAAGTAATTCATGTGTATGTATGCATGTACATTGGGTTATTACATGTATAAAGGCATTTATATATACAGTTCGAATGATATACATATGTGGTATATATGTATATTGCAGATGTCGCTAGAAGTGGATTGCTTAAAATGTGTAAAACTTGCACATCTGTAAACTGTGTACCACAAATTCAATGTCCCGCTCATGTCCGCATGGGGGACCACGAGAAGCCACAAATTTGCGATCTGCCCGCCGGCAAATTTGGTTATTGCTGCGAAACTGGCCAAAACCACACGGCGCAACAAAATAAGGCACGTCGGGCAACGATTCCATCATTTTTGCCACCTGATGTGCTTGAAGAAGCACGTAAGAATTTTGAGCATCTAATGCACGGCGTTGCCCAAATGCCGGTCCTGCGTGGGCATCCAGATTTTACTCATGGTATCGTATTTCAATCGACACCCAAGGAAGATTTGCATAACTTTGCACTGTCGAACAGTGCGCTTGAATTGGTAATTGCCAGTCAAGTGTTTGGCAAGAAGGAACAGGTGCCGCTCGATGACCTCATCACAAACAATGTGCCAGTACAATTTTCAAAGACGCCGTTGGCTCAGCACTGCCAAACACGCCCGATTTGTCGGGGTAGACACCACTTCCGGAGTATGGATGGCACTTGCAATAATCCGCTACCCCAGCGTTCGCATTGGGGTGCTGCTGGCCAGCCAATGGAGCGTCTGCTTCCCCCAGCCTATGAAGATGGGATTTGGACTCCTCGCGCTCATTCAAGCGATGGAACTTCTTTGTTAAGCGCTCGTGAAATTTCTAGCGCTCTGTTCGCCGATCTTCATCGACCCCACCCAAAGTACAACCAGTTGGTAATGCAATTTGGGCAATTATTGGCCCATGATGTTTCTCAATCGGCTTCGGTGCGTCTCGATGAAAATGGTGGCTTAGTGCAATGTTGCTCGCCGGGAGGCAAAAGCATTTTGCCGCCAGAAAAAAGGCACTTTGCCTGTCTGCCGATACCGGTATCCGAAAACGATGAATTTTATAGCGCCTTTGGCGTGCGCTGTTTGAACCTGGTAAGACTATCACTGGCGCCCAGTGCCGACTGTCAGTTAGGCTACGGAAAGCAACGGAGCAAAGTAACCCACTTCTTAGATGCCTCGCCCATATATGGGTCCAATGAGCAGTCGGCACGTGACTTGCGCACTTTCCATGGCGGCCGATTACACATGTTTAATGATTTTGGTCGTGATTTGCTGCCCCTAACTAGTGACAAGGATGCGTGTGGCAGCGCGGAGCCGGGTAACACGTGTTTTAAGTCGGGTGAGTGGATCTTCCAACTGTCACAATCATAATATATATGTATGTAATTCCATGTTTCAAGGCGATGGTCGCACAAATCAAATTATCTCTCTGATCACACTGCAAATTGTTTTCGCACGTGAGCATAATCGCGTTGCCGACATCTTGGCTGAATTAAATCCGTCGGCGAACGACGAATGGCTTTATCAAGAGGCTCGCCGCATTGTGATTGCGGAGCTACAGCACATTACATACAATGAGTACCTCCCTGCAGTTATTGGATCCCAGCAAATGAAAAGATTTCGTTTGATGCCCCACCAGCAGGGATATTCAACCGACTATAACGTTGATGTTAATCCAGCTATTACTAATGAGTTCTCGGGAGCTGCTTTTCGAATGGGTCATTCTAGGCAAGCAATACAGATTATACTGTGAAAAAAATTTAATCTTTACTAACTCTTGTCTTTAGTGTCGACGGTAAATTTCGCATACATGATGAAGTCATTAATATTCCGGATGTTATGTTTAATCCTTCTCGCATGCGAAAGCGCGAGTTCTACGATGATATGCTACAAACGCTTTACACGCAGCCAATGCAACAAGTCGACAGTTCTATTACACATGGTGTAAGTGTATTAAAACAATTCAAATGGCAAAAAAAACATTCATGTCCTTAAATCGTAGCTCAGTAGATTTCTCTTTCGCGGTCACAGTCCGTTTGGATTAGATTTGGCCGCAATAAATATACAACGGGGTCGCGACCAGGGCCTGCGCTCCTATAATGACTACCTTGAAGTAATGGGAGCTCCAAAGCTGAAAAATTTTGGTCAGCTTCCAAGAGATGTGAGTATTTGTAGCGTTTACTTTTGCTTTCTAAATGTAAATATCTCAAAACTATTGAATCTTCTTAGATTGGCGAAAAACTTGCTCGGGTCTATAGGACGCCTGATGATATTGATTTATGGGTAGGCGGCTTGCTGGAAAAAGCTGTTGAAGGCGGTATCGTTGGGATCACTTTTGCCGAAATTATTGCCGATCAGTTTGCTCGTTTTAAGCATGGAGATCGGTATTACTACGAATATAACGATAAGGTAAATCCAGCAGCATTTCGACCAGCTCAACTGCAGGAAGTGCGAAAGGCCACAATCGGACGTTTGATCTGCGATAATGCCGATCACTTGACATTACATTCGGTGCCTTTGGCTGGATTCGTACTCGCCGACTTTCCTGGGTAAGCTGATCATTTCGATGATTAGCCGATAATCGATTAACCCCAATATAAATCATCTCTTTGCAGTAATAGGCTAATACGTTGCGATGATCCAAACCTTCCTACAGTTGATTTAAATATGTGGCGTACCTAAATAATGCTCATATGGCTTTTTATTTATTTGTCGTTGCCAGCTTCGTGGTTTAATTATATTTATTTTGTTTTAACCCTGTAATTACCTTAAGTAAAAATTGTATAAGGTGAATTTGTGAAGACACCCTTTAAAATATACAGTAATTTTCAGAAACATTAACTCTATGCGAAGAGAAGTATTAAATATTCACAACTGCCCTTTTTAAAGAGTTTTGAATGTGTAATAAATAAGGAAAATAGATTAATCTTTGGTAGCCACCCCTTCTATTCAATACGTACAATTCTTACAAATCCAAATCATAATATAGTTGGTAATAGTTTCCGAATGTTTCGTGGTTTTATTACCATTTAGTGATTTTACATTTGTCAATTGTTGATTTAACGTACTAATAACATAAGTCTTATATCATGTTCAATATTAATTGCGGATGTCCGCTCTGATACGTTACGTTCGAGGCTCTGAAGTAGTCCAAAAACTAGAAATACCGAAAATAGTCTCACTTACAATTTTCAGTTTTAGAATATAATTCTTGTTAAAGTTGTGATTTAACTGCACTAGAAAATTGTTCTAAACAAAAACTATTTTATTGAAGGACTGCAATTTTTGTAAACTAGATAACATTTGAAATTGTTAACCATACCGGAAGATAGTTTTGCAGCATTTACAAACTATGTATCATATTGTTCATGCCCGTAGACATTCTCATCGGAGTAAGCCATGTACAAGAAAAAGTCCTTATCACGGTGCTCATGGTACAATAAGCCCATTGAAGCCGATGTCGGAGGAATGACACTGTTAACGAAGAAAAACAGAGCGTCGTCCGGACGGAGATTAATGCGTTTACGGATAAGAAAGTAGAACTGACCAACTGTCAGATCATTGGGAACCAAATATTTCTTTTTATCCAGAGCTGCATGACGTGTCTTTGGTGCCTTTTCCACGATGACAGGCACGCGATCAGGATACTTTCTGCGTATTTTGTCGCCTTCTGCGCGACGCTTTTCAAATGAATGATCCTTCTTAAACTGGAAATTCACATTCATCTTGGAAATTGTTTTAGTAATAAAATCAAATATAATATCAGTTAAAATTTTTGTAAATAAGTGCTGCTGTTCAGATATGATTTTGGTTTGCGCTTCGTTCAAAATATGTGATTGTTATCCGGGATACATATTTGAAATTTTCAGTTTTAAAAGCACACTATGTTAACGGCTTTCAAGCATCTACACAGAGCAATCCGATTTGAGCTACCCTGACGGAGCTGGCTACTGAGTAGGCGGCCCATAAAAACGAAAGCTTTTACCAAAGCAATAGTAAAAGTTGTACACCTACGGAAAGCTAAAAACCAAAGCCTTGAACTTTGTTAGCTTTAAGAGCTTATTTTCTCAAACATTTACCGTAGCCGTAATAGCTTGGATGTGCTCTCTGCGTTCGCTCGGTTCTGTCACTCGGCTCGCTTTGATATATGGTATAGACGGTGTCGTCTGCGATTTGTATATTTCTGATTTCCGGTTTCCATTGAAGCTGCTCTTGCTAATCAGATTTCAATTTCAGTTGTGGCTATTCAACAGGTGTATAAAGTCGGCTACGGTAAAACGGTCCGACACGAAAGTCGAGAGAGTTACCAAAATTTTGCACAGCGGGCGATAGAAAATTTCTTGCGCCAGGCAGCAGTGAAAATCCGTATTCCGATTAATAGAAATGCTTATGTGATCTAATACAATTCGAATAAAAGCAGTCGAAATAAATTATAGGCAAGGAAAACCTAAACAAGAACTAAACAAAAATTTTCTTAGACTAAATAGAAAATCGACATGTGCACATGCACAATTTTGCACTTCCCACGTAAACTTTGGTCAGCGGAGGTCAAATGTAAATGAAATCCAATTATAGTTTTCGGCTACGGCGTGGCATTCAAAATTTATTGACTTCAATTTGACTTGCGGGCAAAACTGAATTCAGAAATCGTGAATAATGTACATTAATTAATTAGTGGTAAGTGTTAATCTTCTATAAAAATCAAAAACTTTTACAAGTCAAGTTAAAGAAATAAAAAAAATTAACACGTGTATTTAATTTTTATTTACTTATGATTTATTTATTTCATTTTGTTCTTGATTAAACCAACGTAATAATATAAGTTATTTGAAACTTGTAATCAATAGTTTGCTCAGCTGAGAAAATCTGCGACTTAAATCATTTTTTTTTGTAGTCTCAAAGACTTCATGAATATTTGTGTACTTAAGTAGAAAAATTAAGCGCAATAGAGCTTTTTTCAATGAAATAAGAAGAAGACGTAATGAAACGAAAGCGGCGCCGACAAATGTTTGTCTATTTTTCAACATTTTTAATTAACAAATATTTGTTTGCCTTTGTCTTGCTCGGGATTATATTGATAAAATCATCCAACAAGCGTGTAAATATACGTACGTATTAATTTTTTGAGATTTAATTTAAAGCTGCGTAACTGAAGCAAAATGGGAAAGGTTTATTATTCGGGTCTAAGACACCCCCATTGTTCTATTAGGCAAAATACTTGCATAGCTTTGTTTGCTTTTGTAATTATAGTGAAGATATACATACATATGTGTTCGGTTTCGGTTCACAGTTTGCAAGTTAAACAATATTCACGGCATCGAATCATAACTATATAAATTGAAAAGTCAATCAAACATGTCGTCGCCATACGTGAAATTTTAATTCACAGCTTCATCAGCAAAAGGTGCAAAATTTTTGAGGCTCTCTTTTGTAAACTCGCTGTTCGCTTTATAGGTACAGATATATATATATATATATATATATATATATATATATATATACTATGTATGAACTCGAGCCTGATTTCTGTCCAACTATGCGGTAAATAGATATGGATAATCAAAACTTAGAAATGTTTCTTAACTAATTATAACGACACACAATAAAAAATCATTGTAAATTGTATTATTTACACTTAGATTTCAATATCTTTTGCCTATTTTATTAAACCTAAATAGTGCCATATTTAAATTTATTTTTAGTATAAACATATTTAAATTAGTGTTTATCATATTTAATTCACATATTAATTTCCACAAATTAATATTAAAGTGAAAAAATATTAAACATGAATACAGTTCATATTAAATTCAAATACTTTTAACTGTTTTTTTTTATTTATAATATTTAAATTAAAAAGTAACATAGTTAAATGTAAATGCATATTTCATTTAAACGTGTAGGCATGTTACTTTAAATAAATTTTAAATTGTTTAATATTGTATTTAAATACAAATCGTTTTTAAAATAAATATGTTTAAATTTAAAAGTAAATGTGTAAATATTTATATAAAATATTATTCATGTTTAAATCAATAGGCATTCATAATTAAAATTAAATGTTCCCATTTTAATTTCAATTTTTATGCACTTAAAATAAAAAATAAATAATTTTGATATTAAATATTTGTATTCTTAAATTGATCATCTTCATTTAAAAATATATATTATAATTATTGTCTTAAATATGAATATATATAATAATTGCTTATAGTTTTATATGTTATTTAAGACTTTGATTTATCTTGTGCTTGTATAAAAAGGGTATAATGTATTTGTGCAAAGGCAGAAGCAAGCATCTCCGATCCCATAAAGTGTATATATTCCTGATCAGCATCAACAGCCGAGTCGATTTAGCCATGTCCGTCCGTCCGTCCGTCCGTATGTATGATCGTAAGGATCTCAGAACCTATAAGAGCTAGAGACTTGAAATTTTAGCTGTAGGTCCTCCTAGTGCCCGCGCAGATCGAGTTTGCTTCCGATATTCGATAACTTGCCCCGTTTCCAAGTAATGGATAAAAAAATCGATATCGAAATCCAGTTTTTTGAGCAATTTTGGTAAATAACAAGAGCTAGAGTCACCAAACTTGACATGTAGCTCCTAGAATAGTATATATATATATATATCAAGTATCTTTCATTTTATACCTATCGCCTGTTGGAAGAAGAGGGTTCAGGATATCCCATAGTCGGGAGCTCCCGACTAGAACCTCTTACTTGTTTCTTTTACAAATACTTGAAAATTTAAACAATTTTAATTTTCTTCCATATTTTCTTTGGTCTTTGATCCTTAGCGGAGCAATCAATCTACACCTAGTCGCACTTGAATGCAACTAACAAAATGAACCAAAAGACGACATCTGACATACCGAGAACATATAGTGTTGACTCTATAGCAGGTGAACAGCGAGGAGAGGAAAGCCTAAAACAATAAGAATAATACTTATTTAATGTGCACTTGAACGAAAATGAAGTGCATGCCAATAATATCCCAATTTGATATTTTAACATTCGTTTTGCTTTCACTGGCCCATGGCACGCATCAAGCAAATACTAATTGCTATGATAGCCAGAACGGGTTTAATACCTATTTTAATAATCTGTCGATCGATATTGGCAATGAAACTGATATGTCCGTCGCGACCATGTCAACGAATCCGACGAGCGATGCTTCCGTTTGGAAGTGTTGCTGCTGGGAAGCAACTAATCAGGTAAGTGGATGCTCGATTACAAATGCCTTTAATAATTCCAAGCAGTATACACACAGTTCATTCTTATAGGAGCATAGATAGTATATGCTTTAAGCCGTGTAACTTTTATAACTTTTTAATATGGTTTATTTTATAAAATCTTACTTTCGAGCAGAACGAGTTTGAGTGCCGATGCGAGGGCGAAGCCCTGACACGCGTGCCGCAAACATTAAAGTTGCCTCTGCCAAGGCTCACAATTGCATCAGCGGGTTTGCCGCGGTTGCGGTCGATGGGTTTGAAGGTGTATGCCACCACCTTATTAGATGTGTGAGTAATACTTGAATCCTGCGAATTAAATTTACATATTTCAAAACAATGTATGTGCCATATTTGTGTCTTTGTAGTGCCTTTATAGACTGTCTGCAACTTGAAACTATACAGAACGGAGCCTTCTCCAACTTAACAGTTCTGCGTACCATGTATGTCTATGTGAAAGCAATGTACATCAAAAATTACCATTTTATATAATGTTTATCGTAAATTACCATTTTATATTATTTATAGCTATATTTCAAATGCTCCAAAACTAACTTACCTATCCAAAAATGTATTTGCGGGAATTTCCGACACTATTGAAATTATGTAAGTAAAAAGCCCTATATCGCGAGGACATTCACTCTAACAAGCGTTAGATAGAATTGTCTTATCACAACATTAGAAAAATATTTATTGTTTATACATTCAGCTTGACTGACTAACCATAGAACATTGTGTGTAGAGCTCGAAATTCACAAATCCCAAAAACTTGAAATCTTGTCAAATTTGAATCGGAAAGGCGGGCAACCAACTAGTGCGGGCATTTCTAGTTCAATTTGCTGAATAGGTTCACTCGTTCATTTTCTGGTCGTGAACTAAATCGGCCATTTAGTTCATAATGACCGTTCAATCGAACTTGGTCTGAACTAAACGACACAACTCTACAACCAACCATTAGGCACACAAACGCATAAATGCTTTTATTCATATACAAAAGTGTGCAAGTGTGCGTGCATAGCAAGTCCAAAAAATTTTAAATGCACACATGTGAACGCTTAGGTACCCTTACCAACGATAACGAGCTAAAATGCAAGAATTTCGCATCGACGTGGCAAACCCTTTCTTATTTCATATTACCGGTCCCTTCAAAAGAGAAGAGAAAAACTTGTGCGCATTGTTGCTTGTGCGTACACATACACACACATACGATTAAACGATCCCTAAACATAATGAGAGAGCTTTGAGTGTAAGAGAGAGCAAAATAAAAATCAGCGATGCCGTTCTACCACACAAATCATATGTATTTCTTACTCTCTTGCTCTCGGAGCGTGTCTCGGACCCGACAAAAAAACGAAGTCAAGTTTGGATCAATTTTTCATGTCCACATTCATTGTACTAGTTGTCTCATCTATATGTTCTATGGTTAGTGGTTGCATCAAATTTAGTAGAGACACTTAAAATGCAGTCTTCAAATCATAAGCTGCTATAATGAAGCTGTGCGAATATGAAAATAAAAATGCATCTTTGAAAATGTATAGTCTTGATCATCATCATCTCCGAACTGTCTTCATACCAGGTCTTTATGTCTGTCTGTATAAGCGTGGCGAGATA